TGCACTCCAGTCTGGGTGACAGAGTGAGACTCCAACTCAAAAAAAAAAAAAAAAATTTATATATATATATATATGTTGAATTGTCTGGGTGTGATAGCTCATGCCTGTAATCTTAGCATTTTGGGAGACTAAGGCGAGAGGAATGCTTGAGCCCAGGAGTTTGAGACCAACCTAGGCAACACAGTGAGACCTTGTCTCTACAAAAACAGTCCCAGCTACTCAGAAGGCTGAGGAGAAAGGATGGCCTGAGTCGAGGGTTGAGCCTGCAATGAGCCATGATCGTGCCACTGCCCAATAGCCTGGGTGACAGAGTGAGACTCTGACTCAAAAAATAAATAAATTAATAAAAAAATATATATATATGTTGAAATACTTGGGGTGAAATATGTTATGGCACTAAAAGACAATATGGTGGCCAGGTGCGGTGGTTCACGTCTGTAATCTTAGCACTCTGGGAGGCAGAGGCAAGAGGATTGATTGCCTGAGCTCAGGGATTTGAGATCAGCCTGGACAACTTGGTGAGACCTCATCTCTACAATAAATCAAAAAATTAGCTGGGCATGGTGGCACACGCCTGTAGTTCCAGTTGCTTGGAAGGCTGAAGTGAAGCAGAAGGATCACCTGAGCCCACAGGTCAAGGATGTGGTAGCTGGGAGCATGCCATTGCACTCTAGCCTGGGTGACAAAGTGAGAGTCTAACTCACAAAAAAAAAAAAAAAAAAAAAGGCAATATGGCAACAATATTAATTGCTAAATCAAAGTGAGGGCCTGGCATGATGGCTTACATCTCACATTTATAATCCCAGCATTTTGGGAGGCTGAGCTGAGAGGATTGCCTGAGTCCACGGGTTTGAGATCAGCCTCGGCAACTTGGTGAGACCTCATCTCTACAATAAATAAATACAAATTAGCCAGGCGTAGTGGCGTGTGCCTGTAGTTACAGCTACTTGGAAGACTGAAGTGGAAGGATTGCCTGAGCCCAGCAGGTTGAAGCTGTGGTAGCCGTGAGCATGCCACTGAGACTCTGATTCAAAAATAAATAAATAAAAAAAAGTAAGGAAACCACGTGTGTTAATGATCCTACTCTTTCCATTTTTGCATATTTAAACATTTAAATTTATTTATTTATTTTTAGAGTTGAGGTCTTGTTATGTTGCCAAAGCTGGTCAAGAATTCCTGGGCTCAAGCAATCCTCCCATCTTGGCCTCCAAAGTGCTGGGATTATAGGCAAGAGCCACTGCACTTGGTCAGTATAGTCAAATATTTTCATAATAAAAAGTAAAAGAAACAAGCCGGGCTCGGTCTGCAATCCTGCGCCTTTGGGAGACTGAGGTGAGTGGATTGCCTGAGCCTGCGGTCTCGAGACCAGCCCGGGCAGCGAGACCTCATCTCTACAATAAATCAAAAAATCAGCCGGGCATGGTAGCGCATGCCTGTAATTCCGGCTACTTGGAAGGCTGAGGCGGAAGGATCGCCAGAGTCCAGCAGGTCAAGGCTGCAGTGGCCACTGCACTCCAGTCTGGGCGACCGAGTGAGACTCCAACTCAAAAAAAAAAAAAACAAAAAAAAAGTAAAAGAAACAAACAAAACTAACTTAATATCTGTTAATTAAAAAAAGAGGAGAATCTTCTGATAGTGATAGTTTCAAAAATAAGGACTAAAACGAGATTTTGGGGTAAATTTTATCTTAGAATGCTTTATCAGTCTTACGATACGGTAGACACTAATTCTGAAAAAAACAATAATTTATTCCTTGTTAATGATACTGATACTTCCTTATAGACTGGTAAAGTTTACAATTCCATAAATCAGTTGATCTCAGGTAATTATCACCCCTTTAAAGATAAATATACATATTGTTTGAGTTGAAGTCTCACTCTTTCACCCAGGTTGGAGTGCAGTGGCACACTCATGGCCACCGCAGCCTTGATCTGCTGGGCTCAGGTCATCCCTCCGCCTCAGCTTTCCAAGTAGCTATAACTATAGGTATGCACCACCAGGCCCGGCTAATGTTTTGATTTATTGTAGAGATGAGGTCTCACCAAGTTGTCCAGGCTGGTCTCGAACCTGTAGGCTCACCTTGGCCTCCCAAAGTGCTGGGATTCTAGCCGTGAGCCACCACGCCTGGTCCAAAATAAATATTTAATGTTTAAATGATTAACTCCACCAGAATATGTGTGCATGTATAAATATAATATCTTTAACATATAACAATTATGCTTTTTATGAAGAATCCTAATTATACTTTATAGCTAACCAAAAACGAGTTTAGATGTGCAAACTGCTCACATAGGGAAAGGAGGTGGGGCATGGGGAAGTTATTCTGAAATACTTCTAAATTCTAATATTGAAACTTAATAGTCACCAATATTGTTAGTTATTCAAGCTGGTCACCAGGGAGAGAAAAGTGTATATGAAACTGTATCATGGCACCTCCAAATGCTGAAAGTTTGAAAATATAATTCCACATAATAAATCTGTACTTTAACAAATAGTTTAGCAGGGCAAAATGGCTCACACCTGTAATCGCAGTACTTCGGGAGGTAGAGGAGAGAGGATTACCTAAGCCCAGGGGCTGGAAACCAGCCTGGGCAACTTGGCAAGACCACTTCTCTACAGTAAATGAAAAAATTAGCTGGGCATGGTGGCGCATGCCTGCAGTTCCAGCTACTTGGAAGGCTGAAAACGGATTGCCTAAGCCCAGCAGGTCCAGGCTGTGGTGGCCATGAACGTGCCACTGCACTGCAGTCTGCGTGACAGAGTGAGATTCTGGCTCAAAAAATAAAATAAAATAAAAGAATAAAGTACTATTCATCTGATTTCTTCAGAATATTCTGAGCTAATATAAATGATACAAAAATTCTACACCCTTTTTACAAATAAACTGTGATTAAATATTAATATCAGGATAAATAAGAAGTAGCAACTATGGTGTAATTTCAAAATCGTATTCATACCTCGGCCGAGTCAGAATGTGCAATTTTCTTTTAAGTTCTTGATGTTATAACTTGTTAAGGAATATTAGGTCTCAATCATAAAATTCAACTAATCTCACTTTTGGTGTCTGAATGCTACAAATGCAAAAGACCCACAAATATTTTGACAACACACTTACTGAATTCCTATTTTGAGACAGGGCTAACACATTTAAACCTAAAAGTTATAACACAGTTTTCATCACTGGTGAACATATATTCTAAAGACACAATCCTGAAGTTCAAAAGAGCCTAACAGACTGAACCAAAAACGTTATTCAGACAACAGTGTCCCTATCAGAAGTTTCAACAGCCAGTTAAGAAAACTTTCTAAGTCAAAGCATCAGGACATGTGATAAGGAAAAATGTAGCATAACAAACTGTTACCCATTGAAAAACCTGCAATAGAATCTATGGGTGTTTGTTCATTGCACAATCCTTTAACTTTTTTATATTTTGAAATGTTTCATGACAAAATGTCGAGATAAACAGCATCGTTTAAAAAAAAATCAGACTTCAGAAACCTTGAAAGCTGGTATTCCAACCCCTTTCAGGGCTCTTCATACATTATAAAAAGAAAACTATCTCTTTTATCCGTATGTAGTTTTCAAAGCTCTCAGGTTGTAAACACACATACTAACAAATTCAGACGAATCTGTCATTCTGCAACTCATGCCCAACAGAAACAGAAACGTATTTGGCGCGTTTTCCCCAAAACCCTGGAGGGCAATTTCACAGGAGCCAACTCAAGGCGGGAGGGTTCGAAAACTCATCAAGCAATTCCCGAAAACCTCGACTCGGCATCCTAGGACCCCTAGCTTTGGTCCCGCCATAAACAAGGATCCGAAGTCTCAGCCTCCGCGATCTCCCGACCTACAACCCAAACAGGGCTGCATGATATGAAATCCGACCACGACCCCCAGAGAGAGCAACAGACGTGGGGACCCGCCCATGCACCAGCAGCGGAGCAGCCTAAACTAACCCCAAAGACGGCGCCCAGGAGGGGCGCGGGAGTGGATCCAGCCCCGAGACGGAGTCCCAGACACGCAGAGGTCGGCGCCCAGGCCGCGAGGCAGCTCGCGCAGCCGGAGCCCTGGAATCTCCGCCCGCCCCCGGGGCCAGGAAAGGGACCCCGAATTCTGGCCCTCGTGGAATTTCCGCCCGCGCCCTCGCCGGGCGCCGCCCCGACCCCAGGCCCGGGTGACAGGGCCCAGCGAGCGGGAAGGATATTCTCCGCGCGGAGCCGCTCGATGGTTTCCTCGCACTGCCGAAGCCGCTCCCGCAGCTCCGCGTCGCCAACCCCGGGCTCGTCCTCCCCGTCGCCGTCGTCGTCCTTGAAGCGGGTGTGAACGGGCTTCGGAATCGGCTCCTCTGGGTGGTCAAACGCCTCGAACAGCTCTAGGTCGCCAAAATCCACCTCCGCCGCCATTTTGGGCTGTGGGAAAGATTCGAGAAGAGGCGGAGCCGGCCACCCGGGCGGAGGGCGAAGGTTGTAGGGCGGCACCGCGCTCGGGGGCCGGGCACGCGCTGAGCCACCCGTTAAGGTTTTCTCTAAACGCAGGCCGCCAAAGCCGCACAAAGGGCGGTGCCGGAGCTGAGAAACTACAACTCCCAGCATGCAACGGCGCCCAGCAGGGTCCGAGGTGCTCGGAACATGGCATGCTGGGAAGTGTGGTTTCTAAGCGACTCTTAACTCATTGTTTGCATTGCGTTCTGGTTCTTTTGCAACGCGAAGAAAGTCTGTTGGGATCAGAATGCATTAAAACAATACGGGTTGTCCCTGTTAGGCAACTAAGGCTGAAAAATCAGAACACCACGCGTGGCGTATCACAGATTCTGATGTGTGTGCTTAACACCGAGGGAATAAGGAACTCCAGCTTGGCCACAGACGGCCTTTGTGATCTCAAGAGTATTTTTTTTTTTTTTTTTTTGAGTTGGAGTCTCACTCCGTCGCCAAGACTGGAGTGCAGTGGCCGCTTCCGGCCGCCGCAGCCTCGGCCTGCTGGGCTCCGGCCATCCTTCCGCCTCAGCCTTCCGAGTAGCCGGAACTACAGGCACGCGCTACCACGCCCGGCTGATTTTTTGATTTATTGTAGAGATGAAGTCTCGCCAAGTTGCCCAGGTGGGTCTCGAACCCGCGGGCTCAGGCAATCCACTCACCTCAGCCTCCCAAAGCGGGGGATTACAGGCTGAGCCACCGAGCTCGGTTCTCAGCGTATTTTATTGGGCTTGTTTCATTTGTAAGATTAACTGGATTTGACTGTCTTAAATTTCTGTGTTGAGGCTTTCTATAGTGTCTCTCCTCCAATCTCTCACTCACATATTTATTTACACCATCAATACGTCAGGCACTTGTCTAGGACCCCGAGCAAAATAAAGAAATTCCTGGTCTCCGAAGCCTTTGGTCCACAAAAAGCAACAGCAAAACCCTATAATTATTACAAATGTTTCTGCTCTGAAGTGGAGCTTGGTGTTGATAGGTATCCATGTAAAGAAATGTGGAAGACAGGCCAGGCTCGGGGCTCAGCCTGTAATCCCAGCACTTTGGGAGGCGGGTTCGAGACCCGCCTGGGCAACTTGACGAACCCTCATCTCTACAATAAATCAAAAATCAGCCGGGGGTGGTAGTGCATGCCTGTAGTTCCGGCTACTCGGAAGGCTGAGGCGGAAGGATCGCC